CCTGACCATAAATCCTTTTTTAATGCAACCGCAGCACGACTAGCTTGTCTAAGACATAAATCAGCGGATGTGTGAGACCTCGAGAGAATTATCTAATCTTGGGTACCAGCCCATGCAATGCAATGTCCTGACCCTCCTCATTAGTGTTTATTTTAAAATTATGTTATTTTCCTCGCCGATTTGTGGCGTTTCCAAGCTGCGTAAACCTAACGGGCGCTTGTAACCTAGATACCGCTGAGCCTTCGAGGAAAAGAGCACTGTGTCAAGTTCACCGGTTCAGAGCCATAAAAGGCGCTCACGCCCACACAGACCCTGCAAAATAAAGCAGTAAAAAAATCTAATCTGAACACACTTTATGTCCCACTGTCAACGTGCTTTTGATAGCGTTCGCAGAACGTGTTAATTATTAATTCCCCCCCCACCATGCAATAACGTAAAGTTCAAACCTCTCATTCACAAAATAACACCTGCCACTTACTAAGTAACCATTCAGTGGCCTGAGTGCATGCTTGTGTGACAGTGTGTGTGTGATTCATTTGCAGGCCAAGCGGTGAACAATACAGGCTTTCCTGGAAAGCCGGCGCGATTCTGACTAAGATGAAAACAAATCATTGCCAACGAGCGGCATCACCTTCCCTCTTCAGCGGCACTGCAACACCTGAGGAGGCCAGCTGCTCTTTTTTTAACATCCTCCTTTTCCACTCACAGCGCATCCAGCCCGCATCAGTTCCACAATAAAGCGTCTCTCTCGCTCTCTGCACGCTCCCAACCAACCGGCTTCCACCTCTAAAAGCAGAAATCAAAGACTGTTGGTAACATCAAGCGGACTTAAAGTCTGGTTTTAATATTTCAAATACTTTTAATAAAGGATGGATTTTTCCACTCCGAGGTAGTCCTTCTATGTTTATATGCAAATGGTTCATGGATGGCAGGAAAACACGCGTCTTCTTCTTTGTTTGTTTCTCACCTTTATTGGACAGTAACAGTGGAGAGACACAGGAACCACCCAAACCTTTTCATCCATTTCTGTGTTACTTAATAATTAATACGTTTTGTCCTTTCTTTTTCGGACTTGTGTAGTTTATTGGGCCCTGCTTCCTTTTATTTTTATAGGCGGAAGCCCAGAAACTGATAAGGGTGCTCGCCGAGCGACCACAACCGTGAAGGCTCCCTCAGTCATCACGGAGAAGAGCTCAACACCTGCCGAGGACCTGAGCTGATGTTTCTGAATCTGCGTGGGCGCTGCAGGACTCTATACTCTGAGCTCTTATCAATCCCGTGCGTGACATTTAGAGAGACAACCGCCCTGTTTAACACCACACACCGAGCACGTTAGCTCACAGCTAAGCACGAGTGTAAAACAAATGTCGCAGGCTAATGTGTTAAAGCTCCTGGCACACACAGCAATCACTCCTGTGCAAACACTCCAGCCTGTTTGCTGATATTCATACAAAAAAATCAGGGCTGACCCCCTTTTTTTGTTGTTGTTCTTGGAAATCAAACCTGAGAATCAGTTTTATATTTCATTTTTCTGGGAAGAGATTTGTGATAAATGATATTTAATCTAACCTAATCCAGCCAATCTAGCTGCTTTAAGAAAACGAGTAAGTCCTGGAAGGGGAAAAATAAATAATAGTGCTTGCTAGTAAGCTCATTTACAGATTAGAAAAAATGGCAAACACACACACACACACACACACACAGCTTGATTGGAAATAAGTGCAGAGCAGAAGAAAGTTGGCAGCTTTGGATCACACTGCACAACAAAGCCGTGGATCTGAAAGTCTCATTGTTCACCTCGAGAACACAGGCGCTGTTGTTCTAATTGTGACTCTAAATGAAAGTAATTGGCCTTAACGGTGATAGCGGCAGACAGTCTTAAAGACGCCTCTCCTGCATCTGCAGTTATTAGCAGAGAGATCTCCGGAGAGATTCCTCGCTCTGTAAATACTGCTGTCACACACATTTTCATGAGGGAAAAAAAAGAAACAGAAGACTGACAAGTGCCGCAAGGTCAGCGTCGCATTCCTTTAAAATGTCTCCTGGCTTGCCTCTCTCCATCTCTCTCTCCGTCTCCCTCTTTGCGCCGGCATCCAACAAGTGCGTCTCGAAGCTGTCATTCAAACGAGACAAGCAACACCTCAAATTTGACGCCCACACTTGGCAGCGCTCTCGAGGGCCGGGATCGCCTCCTCTTGAAGGCTTTCCCGCCAGCAAACAAGACAGCGGGAAACAGCCGCTCAACAGGTATGAGTCGTAAGCTAACACGGGGCATCCCTCTGCACGCTTCCAGCGGAGGGGGGGTGAAGCACGCTGAGGATGCGAGAGGGAGCGGAGGGAAATTAAAAAGGGTTCATTTCATATTGTGACAGGAGCTGGTTAGTTTATCTTCTTCTATCAGCCCAGAACAGAGTGAAGCTTCCTGCCCTGGCTCCTGCTCACAGCTGGGCATTGATTCAATATCACTCTTTGCTTCGTTCTAACAGTCGCACTGCCATCAAATGATGAGTGGTGTGTTATTTCAGAGGTTTTTGGAGGAAAAACAATAAATAAAGAGCAGCTATTGATGGTAAAAACCCAGTGAGCCTGCGTTACCTTTTCAGTTCCTTTACCGAAGCTGATTTTTCTCGTGGAGTTCAGCTACTCTCTGCTAAGCAGACGCGGTCTAATGAAAGATATTTTGGAAAGTGAATCTACACTCAAGAGCAAAAGGTGAGGATCGGTGTCTTGCAAGTCTCCAAAGTGCAATGTTAAATCAGCCCTTTAAGGCATCTGTAAACGTAACGATGTGAGCCGCTGCGTTTAACTTTATTAACGTCCATTCACAGCCTTAACTTAAAGCTACCATAACTCGATTTGAAATGCTTACTTACCACTTTTAAAGCGTTGAAAGACCTTTCCCCGAATTATATCAACCACTCATTAACCCCTCAGGCGCCTGCGCGCTCACTTATGTTGTGCAAAAGCCTTGAGCCACCTCTGGTTTCTTTGTGTTTCGCTAGCAAAATGAGAAATAGGTGCAGTGACTTGATGAAACACGCAAATATGCATGAAAATGCAGTTTCTAAGAGAAAAAGAGAGTTGGCTCTACTCAGGAGGAGTAAGGAGCTCTCAGCTTTCTTGCCTATATTTTGTCTATATTTGTGTTTTTCATGGATTCAACCAAAAATGGTGTGTTTTTGTTACAGGCTGCTAGTAACTGAACATGTTCAGGTGTGAGTCACTCTCACTGCTCAGTCATCCTCAAACAGAAACTGAAACTTATTTAAAAAACAAATAAAAACATACTTCTTTAAAGGCTCACAGGCCTACGTGCAATTCATGTAGTTACTGAATATTATTTGACACTTGTTATCTTCCGTTTGACACTTCCACTGTCATCATTTAACGTGTCACCTTGCATAAATTAGCAGTTATTAATGTCAAAATCGTTGCTCGGGATTAGCAGTTCATTAGTTTTGTCAGCTCGGCGGATGACAATGAGTTAATGTGTGCCTATGTGTGTGTGTGTGTGTGTGTGTCATGCTTATATATCTTTGTGGGGACCAAAAAAAAAATTGGGAAGTTACTGTACTGATGGGGACCAAATGCTCATCCCGAGTTTGAAGGCATTTTTGAGACTCATGTGGGCTACAATCAGGTTCTGGTCAGGTTTAGGAGCAGGCATTCATTTTTGATTGTTAGGGTCGGGGTAAGCGGCTCTAGGGAAAGCATTATGTCAATTAGATGTCCCCACTACGATAGTAAAATACGACTGTGTGTGTGTGTGTGTGTGTGTGTGTGTGTGTGTGTGTGTGTGTGCAAATATTGCACAGCTCTAATCCAAGTTTATAAAGGAAACGCTTAGGGAAAAGGAAAGTGTGTGACCTCTCTGGCTGATCTATAGTCATCTTAAACAGCGTGCACATGTAAGGCCAAATATCCACTCTACCCTCTGTGATGTGCATCACATGTGGCGATGCTGCAGGACTGAGGACGCCGGCTGAGACTACGGCTCGCTCCGATCCCTCGGGGCCCAGCGGTTGCCCCAGCTGTGGTATTTATACTGCACACACTCCCAGGTGTATAAAGTAAACACAGCCGACGCTGTCAGGTACCGCGTCGGCCAGTGGCAGGAAGCTAACCTTTTTCATCCACCAGCTGGTCGCTAAATAATGTATCAGGTCGCGGAAGTGCAAGTGAAGGCATCAGTCATCAACAAGGAAAGAGGGAGACTCTTTACTGATGCCGTGGACGTTTTTCTCTCGCCCCTCCGGAGCTCATTCATATTGAATCGAGCCCATTAACAGTTATAAGACCAGATTAAAATGCTTTATTGCATTTGAAGCGAGCCACGATCCGCCTCTGTTCACAATCAAAGCGTTTGCATACGCCAATACGGCAGATGTAGCAGCAGACAGATTTCCCTTAATGTGACGGCGCCGAAGGGGATACATTTTCATTAATCTGCACATGACAGGTAGTTTTTTAGGTCTCTAAAAATGGTTTTAAACAGCATCCTAGACACACCTACAATTCAGCTATAATCAAAAAGGATTGCTGTTTCCACCTGCAGGGTTTCTATTTGGTGGTGTGGAGGCGAGGCAGGCATCAGTCACATCAGATATGACAATAAGTGGAAGGTACAAGAGGAGCTGGGTTGGGGGTGGGTTGCAAAGCGGCTTACAGGTGCAGTCTCTGTACTTCTGTATTTCTGAAACAACATTCAGACTTTCTCTTTTTTTCTTCATGTATTAAAAGTATTTAAAGCTTTTCTCTGGTTTAATTCCTGTTCTGCTGCAAATACGTCGTGACTACAAGGCAGACTGATACATTAAACTCCTGGATAGTGAAGCAGCATCTGCATGCAGCTGTAGACTGTGGTATTTGTTTGTTTAACACAAGGGCAATATCAGCCGGACGCATGTGCCTGGCCTTTTACTCCTGTGAGAGTTAGAAGACTGAGCAGGCCCTTTCCACCCGGTGCATAACAGGTAAAAAGTGGTAGACAAACATCTTACCTTGGTGGCTGTGTGAAGTCATTGCTGCCAGGTCGGTCAGGCAGACGTCCACGCAGTACGGCGAGTGTGCACCCAGCTCGTCGTGTGAGCGTGTGTTCACTGAAGGACAGATGTCTGTGTGTGTTTGAGTTGAAGTACGGATGTGGTTTACAGGATGGTGATCAGGAGCCTGTTAGCCTGCCAGAGCTGGGAGGAGGAGGACAGTGTGGGCTTGAATGCGTGTTCAGGCTGATCCAACACTCGGGACGGTCAAACGGGAAACAGGAAGCAGACGTCCGGCAGCAGCCAATCTCCATTAGCTTATTGATCCGGCAACTCCAATCAGAGTGGCAACTCGCTGTTTAGCACCAACCTGTGGGAGGATGAAAAGGACAATGTTTTATTTAAACGCTTCACGTAAGAGAGAGCAAAGGAGAGACACCAGCTGGCCTGTCACAGGTCGGTGCTGTGTGTATGCTGCTCCATAAGAATAAATAGGAAACCTTTTTTGCAGGAGACACTACAGCAGAAAGATGCTGTTCACATGGTTTGCACTCCCAGGACCGTGCAGCACACGCAGCATAACAGCTGAGCACGCGGAACTGCATTAGCAGAAAGTTAAGAAGCAATTTCCCCATGATATCGTTTCCAAACAGCGCCGATGTACTGTGGCTACATGTACACGGTATTTTTATACAGCATATGAACAGAGGATGTCAAAGTGGGCGGGACCAGTGAAGCTCTCCTTTCTGTCACTTTAAAGTTTAACTAAACATTTAACCCCTCAGACATTTCATTCAAAGAAAACGAGGCGATTTCAACGGCACGTTTCATGTTTTTTTACATCATAAAGTAATTCTGCTTTAAAAAATGAAAGAAATCTGCCAGCACTGCTCTTCATGGCCAAATTGTAAGAAATTAATGTGTAAAATGACAGAAAAGGTTCTGTTAGCTCAACGCCAAGACTTTCAACAAATAAGACAAAAGGTTTTTGCTAATACACAGAAAATATCCTGGGTTTTCTTTTTCATTTGTGTTTTTTTTTACTGTGAATCTTTTTAAAAAATCATAAATTCCTAAATTAGCAAAAAACCCAAAAGCATTTCTGTCATTTCACTGTTTATCTATTACTTCTTTACTTTAGCGGAGCATGAATGTGTCATGAAACGCTGTGTGGCAGGCAGGAGACGAGGACTCAAAGTGCAGGACTCACAGACTCAGGGGGTGAACTCAAAATCACAGCTTTATTTGCTGGTCACAGAAAAACGAGCAAACTAAGCTGAACTGGGGAAACAATGATCTAAAACTCACCCAGACACAGGGCGATCCACACAGCAAGAGGGACGACACGAAACTGCCTCAGAGAAACAGGATTTAAATACACTGGGAAGTAACGAGACACAGAAGGAGGGCACAGCTGGGAGAAATCAGAACTGACGAGACAAGGGAGCAAAGTAGGATACACTCACATGAGACACAGACCTTCAAAGTAAAACAGGAATTAGCACAGACGCAAACTAGACTAGAGGAGACAGCAACTAAGAAACACAGAGGGCAGCTACTAAATACTCAGAGAACTAAACAGAATACAAGAAAAGCAAACTAAGACACAACACTAAAGAACAAGCTGGGACAACAAAGAGAACTAAGAACAGAATACACAAGAAACTCAAAACACTGGGTCACTGACCCAGGACCGTGACAGAATGATTGCAGGGGAAGCTCTTTATAAGCTGTAAGACTTATTAAAGTCTTTGGCGGGTCTATTGTGGGCCCCGGGCCTTACGTTTGACACCCCTGATATGAACAAAGCAGGAGCGGTCCCTAAAAGTCCAGTATCGGCCAAGCTCTAGTACTCTATTCGATCCAGATATTACAGACAGTTATATAAGCCGTGATATTTACTGTATTGTTATCAGGTCTGTACACAAGATGACTGCAAGGACTGCTGCTAGTATCAAAAACAACACGTGCATCCTTTAAATGCCTCTCACTCGCAGTTATTTACAGCGCTGATCTTATAGTGATGCGCCAGCTGCTGACTGAGGACATATCACTTACATTACAGACAGATTTAGCTTGGTCATCTAGAATTGTTGCTATAACTCTAGCAACATGCGTTTGTAAGTAGAAGTCATGAGTTAACTGCAGCTAGTAAAGCATCTTTTAGGTCTTTTATTGCATAACAACAGATTGAGGCCCAAAAATAGCCAACGCAGGTTTGCACAATTAATCCTTTCTCATACTTGCAAATAAATCAGCTGGTTAATGAACTAATGGTTTCACTTTGTAAGCAGTCTTAATAAGAATAAACAACTTTCACAATACTGGAAAGTCTTCTGGCTGCAGGGATACAAAATCCATCTTAACGCGGATTTGCAAACATTTCCAACCTTAGCAAATCATCAAATCCTGCTCCTAGAAATGCACCGGTGAGTTTTCAGAGTAAAATACAGAGTTCCAAGAAGTCAACGCAACCCCGGGTTCAATGATACACTGCGAGGAGCTGTAAACCAATCAGGCAATAAATAGCTTTTCCTTGAGATAGCGTCTTTTTGACTGAGGCGCACTGGGGATTTCACAAAACTCCCCAGTAGGATGCACTGCGTTCACGGCAGAAATTGGTGGAAAGATCCCATTAAAAAGCAAAAGAGACAATGATTCTGTTATTTGCCTGGCAGGAAGCTCTTCTTTGTTTTTTGGGAGGTAACTGATTTGTCTTCTTGTTGCTTCTGGAAATATACGATTGTTCTTTTCTTTGTTTACGGAGAGTGGCCTGGATTCCTTGGGCCCGGAGCACCGGTGTCAGATGTAATAACAGCTCAGCCCTAAAGTATCAAGTCGACTTTACTACTAGTACAAAATTCAAGGGGCCAGACTGCCCGGGGGTGAGGTTGAAAGATTTGGCCGCGGAGACACGAGGGGGTATGGGGGCAGCGCCCTTGTGTGTGTGTGTGTGTGTGTTTGCAGAGGTCTCAACCGTCCTCTGAAGCAGGATGGGATGTGCATGCGAGTGTGTGTGTATGCATTAAAAGGAAAGGAGTGGGGGTAAGGGGGGGACTCTCAAGACAAGAGGGCCAGACACTGCAGCCGCAGGACAAATTGGCCCCCCCCAAACCAAAAAAAAGTCGGTCACTGCACAGCTCACGCACACTTGCGCTTTGTGATGGAAAAGCAAAGCAAGGATTGGTGGAGGGAGGGCACAGGCAGGCAGGGTAGGGGGGGGGGGGCTGTGTGTGTCATGCTGACACTCCAGGGGGGCTTCATGCAACACCAATCCCCCCGGGGCATCTCATCTGTCTCGGGAGGGGTACTCATATGTGTGTGTGTGCGTGTATCCCATAGGCCATTGTCCCTAAAAATGAGCTTGCTTGATGCAGGGTGACAGATCTGGGTAGACAAGCCCTGAAGCCCAAAGTGAGCAAAGAGTGAAAAAAAACAGAGTGATGCTTCAAAATGACACCAGTATTAGCAAAAGAGAACGCATGTAAGATAAAAATAACCCTCAAAAGAAATGTTATATGCACATCACAGCTACAGATGACAGCCACAAGCGCACAAAAAGGTGGGTACACACAGTTCCTCCCCCTTTCAGCCCAAACTCTCAAACACGACAAACGGCTTCATTCACCTTCCCGAACTAACGTTTCCCCATAAGAACTATTTCACGCGGAAGGCGACACTTTGAATCGGCCCCTAACGCGTTGCTTTGATGTCGCTTTAACGGCTCCGTACGCCCCCATTCACAAAAAAACAGAAAGATTGACGCATGCAGAGAATTACCACCGCCCATCCCGAACCATTCACACACACTCACACACAAACACACACTCACGCGGGCCCCTACCTTCATTTCAAGCTATTTTTCCCTTCCTCGCCATTAGCACGGGGAAAAGCGACAAAATGCGCACGAGCTCCGTGTTTTATCGCGTTAGAGTCTTTGGCTCTATAAATAGCTCAGCAACAATCGGCATAATAAACACCGCCTGCCCCCCCCCCCCCCCCACCCAACCAACACCCCCCCCCCCACACACACACACACACACACACATACACTCCTCCTGCCTCTCCCCCCTTCTCTCCTTGTTGCCAACACACTTCCCGCCCGCAAATAGTGCAATAAAACCGTGAAGGATATTTTGTAGCTAAATCGTTACAAGTCGCAAAAAGGAAAGAAAAGAAAAAAATAATAATTTCTACCAGGATTCAGATGTGACTCAGACTCCGAGGGGAGTCGTTTAAAACGTTCAATCGCAAGCGAGAGGGCGAAAGCGAAGATGAGCGGAGTGAAAACTTCAGCCGGACATGGTTTTTCATGAAGCCTGCCCGTGCATCGCATCCCTGCCTTGGATATCAACATCAAAGCGAGGCTACACATTCAGCCACAGCGGCCACAGGCACACCACAACAGCTCACCTATACACGGGCCGGGAGGAGGCCAGTCGTCCCAGCATGTGTCCCAAAGCGGCTGGCCTTTCTTAAAAAAAAAAAAAGAAAAAAATCTCTCCCATGTTAGCACTCCGAGGCTTTTTTCTCCTCTTTTCCTCAACGCAGGAGGAGGGGAAGAAAAAAATCATCTCCTGACAGATTCCGCCATACTGGATTTTTGTTACAGCCCAGCGTCACATGGAGCGCCCCTGCATTCACCAGAGGCGGGGTCAGGCTGATGAAAATGTGATCATCTACGAGCAGACAGCGTGGTATGTGTGTGTGTCTGTGTGTGTCTCTGTATGTGTGTGTGGCAGGTTGGATAAATGCTTGTGATTATGGCCGAGGAAAAGAACTTTTTCTGGGGCGTGTCCCGTATTGTAATATCCGTGCATGCGGTTCCCCGAGCGTCACATACACGCATTACCTTGTTTTTATAACTTTGTGCAGCTTTATGAGCCAGCTATAGATGTGCATGCACACACTTTCCACTTTTACTGCGTTGTTATGGAATCACGGGATCATTATCCCCTTCCTGTAGTGCACTATAATTAGACACTGTTGCAGTTTGTTGCATCCCCCCCAAAAAATATTGCTTTTAAATGTTGGGATTTATTATCCTTTATTTTATTATTACTATCCTGAGGCACCTATGCTACCTTATGGCATTTATCGTGATGGTCTGCTCCACGTGATCACAGCTATATATAGCCTGCACATCTTCAGGCCAAACGTTTATGTGTTTATGTGGATGACGACATGTGCATAGACATATGTGCGTATCTATGTTTAGTTATATATGGGCATGTGTGTGTGTTTCATTTTATGCACGGTGAGGAAGCATTGCCATCATTTTGTGATGCTGGCATAATGGCAATAAAGAGTCTTGGATCTTTCATTTTTCTGGGTTGTGATCATTAATCTGCTCTTTCGTGTTCTGCTGATTGACTTCTATAAATGACTTTTTCTAATAACCTTATCTTAGTTTATAGAAGCTTTATCTGCCTTAGTGTCATTACTACACTCCAAGAAGGTTCTAGTAGTAGCAGTACTGCAGTGCTATTGCAGTAGGCCAATAGAGTTTTAAACTGCTATCTGAGCACTTATGTAAAAGCAATACTTGTTGCTGCAACAGAACAAGAAAGAGCTTGAAGAACACTGATGTCAGTCTGTAGACTGAGTTCCAGTCAGTGTTGACTGACATCAAAAGCAGAAAGAGACCAAATCCTCAACAGTAACCGAACATTTCATAATGCGTCATTAATCTATTTATGTAGTAATTACTATGTGACAGCAGTTTTCTGCCTGTAATGCAATATTTCTAGCCTTACTTCAGTTGCTCAACGGCAGCAAAATGGAACAAACATTTTTATCCAATTCCTGTGCATTGCAACATGAAACGCCCTCCATGCTGCCTGCTCTAATCCAATATGCTTTTATTTCCATTACTCTGTATTTGATTGTGCATCTCAGCAGCCACCCACAGGCAAACCTGCAACACTACTGCCTGCCTCAGCTGACTCAATTACTGTAATATGCTAACCAGTCTCTATATAGGCTACATCTGAGGGCGGAGACAGCGTTATTATTCACCCAGTGTGAGTAGACTACAGAGCTCTGCTATGATTTCAGTCTGCTCTAATAACCCTGAGGCTGCTCCGGTGGCTCGCTGAAGTCTGCGGAGACGCTTTGGAAAGATTTGATTCTGAAGTTGTTATTCAGGAAAGGAAAGAAGCTCATTTTTTATTTTCATGAACATTGCTCCAACACAAATATTTTCAATATATTTGAAGGAGAAATGTTGATTCTAAATTTTCTAAACTTGTCTCCCAGGCTGTCATGTGACGTGCGATAATTTTAGCAGTCACATCAAGCAACTAAGCCATTATTTGTCTAGTATGTAGATGTTTTAGCATCTTTGATTTGAATTTTCCCAACATGACTGAACTGTCAATATGTGGGTCAAGTTAAAATCTAACCCTACCTCCAGGTTTTATATGGCTCCAGGCTTCATCAGTAAAGCACCTGTTCTAAACTTTTTTACCCATTACCGTGAAGAACTACACTCATCGGCCACTTATTGCCATGTACACCTGTTCAACTGCTTGTCAGCACAAATGTTTTATCAGCCAATCACATGGCAGCAACTTCACAGAAGATAATGCACAGCGGCTGGGACCTTAAAGCACACGGCTACTGCAGCAGAAGACCACACAGGCTGCCACTACTGTCAGCTAAGAACTGGAAACTGAGGCTTCATTTCACACAGGCTCACCAAAAGTGCACAAATTAAAGACTGAAAAAAGTTCTTTATTTCTGCTGTGACAGGTGGTAGGGTCACAATTTGGCAAAGACTAACATGAAAGCATCTGTGCTGCATCAACAGTTCAGGCTGATGCTGCAGTAATGGTGTGGGGACATTTCCTTGGCACACTTTGGGTCTCTTACTATCCACTGAGGATAATTTAAAGGTCACAGCCTACATGAGTATTGTTCCTACCGTGTCACACCTTTGTAACCACAGTGTTGTGACTGTTACACAATATATGTTAAATGTGTTAAATTACTCTACCTTTTATTACTTTTACCTAAGCTCAATTATAGTTTCGTTCCAACTAACAGGCTTTTCAGATAGGGCTACTTTTATTTAACACATTCCTTCTTCCTCTTTCAGTTTATTTGCACCATTTATAAATTTAAAGTACTTTTAATATTGGCTATTTGGCTAGCATTAACAGTTAGCCTACTTTTACCGTAGCCCGCTATTTAATGCGTTTGTTTGTTTTTTGTTGAATTATTCACCTGTTACATTTTCAAACATAATTAATCAACAGTTGCAAATTTCAGTCTTTCACTCCTTTTAGGTAATTCAGTTGATTATGTGTATAATTTACACACAATCAACTACTTTAGATATGTTCGTCTAGCTGGCCTGCTATTTAGCATGCAATATTTTTATCTAATATTAGCGTAACTATTTTAGCAAACATACACAAAATTTGTCACATGCTTTAAATTATTATGTATTTTTCTATTTTGTCTCCAAGTAATTTATAATAATTTAGAATTACATAGCATCATACTGGTAGTTTCTTTTATCATGAATGTTGGATGGAGTTGGTTCATTATCATTTTTCATTCACTCTCCTCTACAGGGAGATCACAGGTCAGGGTCCACCAGCAAGTCCTCACCTTGCTCAAGGGCACCTCAGCTGGGGCAGATGCTTAATTGCCCCAGCTGACCTTCTCTTTCTCACTGTCAAGGTTTTCACTGCCGTCAGAAGACCTTCTTTATTAGTTTTAACTCGGGCCAGCTTTGTGCCGCTCCACTACGACTTGCATTTATTAATCAAGGTCGCTCCTCCTTTGCAGCAGGCCCCTGAGGGACAGCTGTATCCATAGCAACAAAAGATGATCATTTAAGGATGAGCTAGGGAGTTTCAGTTACGTAAGGCAGTCGGACTTGGAGGCATCTCTGATATGCTCGTGTAAGGTCTTTGGAGCTGTCGACCTTCTTTCTCTTTATGTATGCAGACATAAGATACATTTACCATCTAATTACAGAACTTAGACATGACTTTCCAGTTTAATTAATATCTTTCAGGGCCAACTGCAAAACCATACCTTTCTCTACGATATAAAAAATAAATAGAAAATAGAAAGGCAGCTACCAAAAGTTTTTTTTTTTTAAAGTCAAGTTAAGAGTGAAAAATAATGCTAATGGCTGGTCTGACTAAACGTTTGTGCCACAGTCTATCCAGTAGTTTATTACTTTTGTCTTGAGCAAAATGACACGTTTTGTTTGTAGCTGAGCAAATGCAACGAATAAACATCTGTAAAAGCTGTGTTAATAAGAAGAATCATGGCTCTCGGTATATTTGGAAGGTAATATGCCCTCATTGTCTCATGCTCTGCACAAAAGCACAGAGTTTATACTCGTGTTGTCAGGGAGCACAAATTGCTCTTGGACATCTGCATCTGTATTGTTTGTGTACAAGCTTTTGCTGACGCAGACATGCATAAAACAGTCAAAAGTGCGTGTACGAGCAAGTGTGTGAGTGCGTCCAGGGCAATGATGTCAAAGCAGGGATTAGATTGGCTTATATTGCCCAGAGCAGCACATTTGCAATTCAGCGAACACACTCGAGTTGCCAAATCACTGATTGTGTTAACTGTTTTGCATCCAGGGGAGTAGCCATCACCTCCTTCCACTTTAGAGTTTAGGTCATGAGTGCTTCTTTGGAGCATGATGTGTTTAAAAGCATCGGTCCAAAGAACCTTACATGGTTCTGGCTAAAAACACAGATCCTGAGTTATGTTGTTCCAAAAATACACCATGTTTTTTGGCCAGAGGCTGGGAAGAGGAGTAGTAATCAGGCTAGAAAGTCAACAGGCTGGTGAGCGTGCAGGGCCTGCGCAAACCTCGGCTGTGCTACCACAGCAGACACATCACACACGGGCTGTAGACCAGACCACTTGCAGTGCACACACAACTGGCTGTTAGTGGTTTGTGAAGGGAAGCCGTCGTCTCACCCAGCGCGGTCCCACATGAGTCAGTCGCAGCGTGCAGACAAAGCTCGCAGACCTCAGTGTCATAAAGAACCTCGGCAGCCATGGAGAAAGCACTTCTGAACATCTTCACACCGCATTTGGCAGCGTGTGATCGGCCTGCGCAGCCACAACTTCTAACGTATCGGTGGAATTATGGCGTTTGCAACTTTTTCTCTGTGTGTTAGGTTGCGTGCGTGTAGAGAAAAAAAACATCAGGCCCTTCCAGGTTTCCTTGAAACAGGAGCGTTTAAGAGAGAAAAGAGAGCAAATGAAGCCATAAAGAGTTCTTGTTAAAAAGAAGCAGAGCCGAGGCTTCTTACAGTCGAGCCAGTTAGTCTAAAAGTTTCCATCAAAGCCCCGCTGAGCTGCATGGAGTAATTACTTCTCACACAGCAACAGCTCCCAGGCCTTATTACTGATACTGTTTTTATGTGCGTGTGCATGTGTGTAAAAGGTGCATGTACTGCACGCGCTCACTCGTGGCAGACGAATATGCCTCCATGTCCCATTCAGGCAGAGTGTGCGTTTCCATGTGTGTGTGTGTGCCTGTAAAGTAATAGCACCCCAGATTGTCCTGCTTTTTACACATAAACCAGCTTGCTGGGGCGATAAACTGAGAAATGTTGTTCTGACGGGTCGCTCTCGGTCTTAGCTGTCCTGATGACGGCAGAGGGGAGCCCACCCAACATGATGTTCCAGAGCATCTGGGTGTTAAAAAACAAAAAGCAGACTTAAAAGCCTTTCTGAAGAGCACTCCTAGCAAGAAGAAAAACAAAGCAGGCCATTTATTGGCACAGTTCACAAGATAAATCAGAGATATTGTGAGAATCAATAAAGTAACTGGTCTGATCATTTTTGGCTTTTTGGTGGTTTCAAATTGGAGCCTTTGACTAATTCTTCTGACATGAGGTCAAATTGACTTCTTTTCCTACTGAGCAGCAGCGCTCATTAGCGATCCACATCATTTTCATAAGCAGTCCATGACATATGAGCTGTAGAAATGCCTGCCTTCTCTTGAACATGATAGAACCACTGTGTCGTTTTGTTTCATGCTGGCATGTTTAACAGGCAAACTCATCATGGTGAGCATGTTAGGATGGAGTGGAAATGGGCTGCTATATACACTCACTGACCACTTATTTAGCTCCACTTGCTCCGCTGTTTATTAGCAGCGGTGTCGAATCAGCCAATCGCATGCCAGCAACTCCATGCATGTGGGCATATAGACATGATCAAAACAATCTGCTGAAGTTCAAAGTGAGAGTCAGAGTGGGGAACAAAAGTGATTTTTACATTACTTTTAATGCGATATGCTTGATATTTTATACATGGCTTTGTTTTTGTGAACCTACATCCATTCCCAGTGTACAGTCACATTTATCTCAATGTGCAGGTTTTTGGACAGCAGGAGGAACCCAAAGAGCCCAAAGGAAACTGACTTGGGCATAGCAAGAACATGCAAACTCCACGGCAAAAGGTCCCAGCCCACGAAGAGAGAGATTAAAACCCACAACCTTGCTGCCGCGGCGCCTCCGTAGGCTCTTACGTTTGCTTTTTTGAAAAGCAAATGATGTCTAAACACTACATTTCCATCTGAACTGTAGTGAAGTGGGAGCATGAAGCAAACTGTGTGTCCAGCAATTCACGTAGCCGGTTGCTTTCCACCGCTGGTGACGTTTCACCTTGAAACCACAACCAAATATCCTGCCCCCCGGCGAACAGGAGCTTGTGGAAAATCTGTCTGTAACCTCGAAACATGTGCTAGTAGCGGCGAGAACACAGGCAAGGCTGCAGAAAGTTTCTTTGCAGCTTATGATTGATGCTTCAGTGAACATCCTGAGACTGCATCGCATGTTTTTTTGAGGTCATGTGCTATTTCCTGTTGCTTCTGACCAAAGACTGTATAAACAGTCTAGCAGTAAGCCTGTATATCCACCATCCCAGACTTTATTCAGTTGTATTGTCAGTATTTTCATTTAAGGACCACATGGGATTGAGAAACTGCTAAGCCTCAAAGAATTTCTACCTGCTCTTTTAAAAGGGGAAAAAATCAGTAGTTGCCATATTTTGGTATGAGAATGCGTTAATTTGATTACACTGGAAAATATCACCTCTTGGAAGAGCATTTGCATCATCCTTCCAAAAACAGATGTCAAGCAGCTGCACTAAAAACGTCCAAAAATGGGATTCGTATTGCCAATTTAATCTGACAGCGTTAGAAGAAGCACATAACCAAAGATTATGCACGTAGGAGTCGAATGAAGTTCTTTTTATTGGCCTGACAGACCGAAAAAAGAAAAGAGAAAACAGCAAAAATGGATTTGAGAAATAAAGCAGCTCCGACCGGCGTTGTAACTAATGTCATCGAACTTTCCAGGGAGAGAAAGCCTCTTCCAGCGTTAGTCATAACCCAACAGAGAGTTTATAAATCTCTCGCCTGCTGCAGCTTTAAAACGTCTAAATAACGTACACCCTGATATTTCCACATCTCGCCACCACATCATGAGATGGCTGTATTTTTCCAGGAGAAAGCTTGAACACGGAGGGCCCGGGCAGCCAGTAAAACTTATTTGGGCATGCAGTCGCCGAGTCCTGCCAGCAGCATATAGCAAAAGACATAAAACTCCAACCGAAAGCCTGATGTAGACAAACTGTGCTAAGTGTTCATAAAATATCTCCAGCCAGGGAATGTTTGATGGAGGGATTAAGGACGGGAGAGAGGAGCTCCTTTTAAAATGAGCAGACCTGCTTCGAATGCTTTTCCTGTGGTGTTATTGCATTCTGACATATGCCTTCTCTTTTAATCACAGATAGAAAAGGGAGCTTCCAATAATTCCCAAAGCGCACGGAGGTCAGAGGTCAGGCTCAGCGTACGTGAAGCTGATGGGAATTGGGCCTTGTACTTCTTCTCTATGGCACCTCTTTTAGGTTTGAAGGCTCAAAAGCAGGGAAGCCAATCGCATTTTACATAGTAGGCCACATATAACCCACCTTGATCTCAAGTGGGCTGAAGTGGTGAAAATGCCCTTTCAGTGAGTTTAAAGAGATTTAACTACACATTAAATGCCAGAGATATCTTAATATAAGAAAAGGAAGTGTAATTTCAACAGCATGTCTCAGTTTTTCCACACGATAAAGAAATGTTGCTTCAGGTAATGAAATAAATCTGCCAGCATGACTCTTTGGGTATACAGTGTAAGAAATAAATGTGTAAAATTACAGAAAAAGTTCTAGTATCTCACTGCCCAGACTGTCCTGTAAGTATAAAATAGAAAGTCCTAATATAAAACTGTGCTACCACGACAATAACAATAACATCACAAATTAATTTTCCGGCAAATCAAAATCTTGCTTCACCTCCTGAACCTGTAATAACAGGTGCATGAATTAGAGTTTTGTGACCCTGCATTAAGCGTTTCACTAGAAGGCAAACTGAGGTCTAATCATGCTGGGAAATAAGTGAAAGGACAATCGGTCAGGGCTGATTATACAGCTACAATGAGGAACACGCCACCGTGATGTTTTATGACACCAAAGATTGTCCTTACAAGGATGTTTGACTTTGATGTTTCTTACAGAAAAGTTCTAAAATGTGTAAAATACGAAATGTGCCGCTGATGAAAATTAAGAATGGGAATTAGTTGTGCTACAACAGGATCACAATATTTAGTGTCTATCATGATAAAGTTATTTTGTGATACTCTATACATTACAAGACAGCAGCAGCATCTGTGTGACAGGGAAAATTACACTTGTAAAATAGCAAAAAAGAGAAAGAATGTATTAAGTTGCTGCATTGTGATATTAAAGTGTGCTTATTTTATCATCATAACAGTTTTAATATTGGATTTTACTTAATATGGTGTCAGTGCAATTAATCAATCCTCTGAATCACTTTTCATTTTATTTTATTTTTTTCTACTATAAGTCAGTTCACTTTACTTTCTTTCCCCAAAAGGAGTCATGAAGTTCTAATTCTATTTAGGCAAACTGGTAATATTTGGCATATCAGTAATAAGGACACAACTGAGCAGCTAATAAAATAAATGAATAAACAGATTCACAGACAAGCGTAATTTAGAAAACAGTAAATAGTTATTTCTGAGGATTTAGGCTGATTAATTTGTTTTAAATACGCAAATATCTGTTTTTGGTCTGTTTGTATAGAGACTTTAAATTTGGGATTATCTAGTTTTAACATAAACCACGTAATACTCTGAATGCAGTGTATGTTAGTTAGTTAAACATATAACAGGTAACTGCTGTGTTTCATTAGCACATTTTAACTGTTTGTTTGTTACCCATCTATTTGTATGTATTTTTAAATAGAGATTTGATTTTAATATGACTAGAATATACTTGGATAGTAAAACAACATTTCTCACATAGTTAGTATTACTGTCAAATATTGGTCATATTTTTTTCTTTGAAACTGACGAATCATGAGTAGTCCCTCGAATGTGGTTCAAATTATTATAAGGCCTAAGAATGATTGCGTTGTATTACAGCTACTACTTACACTGATGCGACTACCACTAGAGATATTTTTAATAAAATCCTTCTGAGAATTTTAAAACAGTAAACTAGGTAGAGATACGAAATTAATTGACCAAATTTTGGATCTACAGACGTTTTAATCATTTATTTTCAAAAAAACTTCTATTAATACAGTGTGTTGTGTCCCCATGACCATTAAAATGATTTTATTTTATCATTTCATCCATAGAAAATTAAGTAAAAACTTAACTTAACTTAATATAACTGTACAAATAAGTGTTCTCAGACAAGATGCCCACGGGGACTTTACTATACAATTACTTGTATTAAATTATTAATTTTAAGTTTGCTAATCCTGCCGGTCAGCCAATATTTTCCCGCCACGTTGTGTAACTTTGCCAATGGCGCCATCTTGCGGATTACATCGTGAATGACGCTTTATGCGAGCGACTCCCCTACGTCATAAGTATGCGCCAGTCTCTCTAATCTCGACAACGTGAAGAAAACATGGGAGTCAGTTTTCCTTCTGACAGGTAGTTTCTTCTTTCTGAGGTCCTCGCGTCACTTAAACCGACGTTAGAGAGTCAGAGTGTCATTTTCAAGCTTACTGGGAGCCGCAGAGCGCGAGGCCGTTCAAAAGTCACGTGAACCGAGCTTTTTTGCGGCTGTTTTGCTAGCAGCATGGACAACTCCGAGGAAAGTGCCATTGAGCTCCACGGAGATGAGGAAATTATTGAAGTCATCGACCTGAACGACACGGAGCCTGGCCCAGGTGGGTTTCGGCAGCACCCGTCTCCTCTCCCGTGGCAGGCGGGACAAGAGCAGATATAGATCAGGTGACCGTCGTGTGCTGTGCTTTTTCTCTCGTAGATGATTTGGCTGATGACTTGGAGGACGTCGACTTCGATGACGCTGGAAACGCAGGTGATGACAATGACGGCTGGGAGACTGAGGACGAGATGGAGGCTGAGGCAGAGCAGGACGACAGCGATCTCACCTTCAACAAACACACCGGTGAAAAGCTCCCTCGTGTCTCTGCTGCTGCTCTCTGATTGCTCCTGGCTGCTTAAGGTTTAAAAAGGTCTGACCCTTTTTCTTTCTTTCTTTTCTGTCCAGGCTCGGTGTTCTGTGTGAGGTTGGACCCAGCGACCAACAGCTTGGCTGTGAGCGGAGGGGAGGATGATAAGGCCTATGTTTGGAGGGTGAGCGATGGGGAAGTTCTGCTGGAGTGCACAGGTGAGTGTAGAGCTCAGAGGGTTGGATGATTTAGGGACATCACTGTAGTGAGCTGGAACTAAAGACAAAGGCGTTTGTTTAGGCAGGGGGTAGATTGGGGGTGATCACATAAAGCTTTCTACCATGGCAATTAAAACATAAGCACCAGCACAGCATGGTTAAAATCACAAAATGTTTAGTTACAGTGTGATTTGGCTTCATTTGTGGACGCAGGTGAGGAGCAAACATGGGAGTCTTTACAAAAACTCTTCCTGCTTTTCCAGACTTAAACACAATCCTGGTATTCTCAGATGAAGCAAAAACAAAAGAAAATGACAAAAAACAGGGTAATTAGCATTTCTAATTACTCTGGGAAATAGGCATCTGCAGATGCCAACAAGGGTTGCATCAGTTTGGGGCTGGCTGTGGCTCAGAAGGGTGAACAGGTTCTGGTCCAAGCTGCCTTGGTCAAGATACTGAACCCAAAGCTGCTGCTGGTGCATCCATCAGAGTGTGAGTGAAAGAAAATCCTCAAAGGCACAGACTGAAGCTCTGTATGAATGTGTGAGAATGGCTCAATGTGGCTTTGTGTGCTCTTCTAAAGTAGAAACGCACTAGTGCATTTATTTGCATAGCGTGAGCGCTGTGTTGACATCAACCATGTGTGAAATGTGTCCACGCAAGCATTTTCAGATTGTTTACATAAAGATGTGGACACACTGTGATGTCCCAGATGGGCAGGACAATGGCCAAAACAGGAAAAAAAAATCATGCTCTTTGCCCTCTGTGCCTACACAGGTCACAAGGACTCAGTGACGTGTGCCATGTTCAGCCATGACTCCTCCCTGGTGGCATCCGGAGACATGAGCGGCTTGATTAAAGTCTGGAAAGTAGAAACTAAAGAGGAGATCTGGTCCTTTGAAGTGGGAGATCTGGAGGTAAGAGTGTGTGTGTGTGTGTGTGTGTGTGTGTGTGTGTGTGTGCGTGCGTGTGTATAATAGAGATGGACCGATCCGATATTACGTATCGGTATCGGTCCGATACTGACCTAAATTACTGGAT